GAGTAGGTAAAGTACAGCTCCCCCTATGCACATTCATAGTAGTGTAAAATAGCAACTTTATAACCATCAGCAAGAGAGTAGGGAAAACAATTTCCATCTAGAACAAAAATAAACTATGGAATCCTACGAATAATACCACCTAATAATACCTGAAAGCAGGTAAGCAGGTAATCATTTTAGCATATTTTTTGCTCAAGAAGCTTTGTGTAGGGTTAGCAATTCACTGGGTCATGGACTTGATTAACTCCAAACAGTTGGGGGGATTTTTATGTATAGTGTGTATTGGGGCATATCCCAGCTAATACGTTTTCTAGTGTGTTGCACAGGCTTAATGTAATCCACCTCAACAACAACACAAAAGTGAATTTAAGAACAGCAGCTCCTCTTGCCAACACTGAGCTCCATCAAAAATAACATTTTTTAGCTAAATTTAATTTTGGAGATTGTTTATGTTGCTTTGAGTTTATTTGGGTAGTCATGGACCTGAACTACGTTCCGAAAAGGGGAAAGTGTTATTGAACATAACAAAAATATTATGAAAAATGGAAGTCATCCAGCTTACATAGCTTTTGTCTTATTTCATGGTATACTGCAGAAGGGCCTCCGCAGGCCAGATTCGGCCTGCCAAGCGAGTTGATCCGGCCCATGGAGGCCCTGTCGCTCCCCCTGCCTCCAAGCCAATCAGGGCGTGGGGGTGAAGAGAAGCAAGCAGAGTCTCCTCCCGCCCTGGAAGGGGTGCAGCACTTCTAAGCACCTCACACTCCTTGCATGATGGGGGCAGGGTGGGAAGAGACTTCGAGTGTTCCCCCTGCCCCTAGGCCAATCAGGGCTTGGGGGCGGGAAGAATGCATGAAGTATCCTCCCACCCTGAAAGGGGCTCAGCATTTCAAGTCAACCTCCAGCTGCTGGTGGTGCTCCCTTGCAGGGCAGAGGCAGGGAGCAAGAGACTTCACATGCTCCCCCTCCCCAGGCCCTGATTGACCTGGGAGCAGCAGTGGGGAGCACGCAAAGTCTCCTCCCTCCGCCAGGGGCATGAGTACCTAGAGGGAACAGCCAGCTGTTCAGAACAGCTTGTGGTTCTCTGTGCGGGGGGTGGGAGAGGAGAGAGGGAAGGGGGAATTTGCTCATTCCCTCACTCCCAGACCAATCGGGGTCCGTGGGCGGGGAAGCATGAAAGTGTCCTGGCCCTGCCCCTTCTGCCTGAGGCCCTGCACCTTCCCGGGTGGCTCGGGGCCACTTCAAAAAATTTCTGAAGTAGCCCCCGGTCAAAAATTATTGCCCACCCCTGGTATGCTATGTCCTTAAGGAAACCATAAGAAAGCTCATTGAAACTGAGGAAAATTACCTTTTAAAATATTATTTTTACATTGAAAACACCTTTATAAAAATGAGAGCCTTTAGCTAATATTATCCAGTCTGACTGCCTAATTTAAGACCTTAAATCTATATTTAGGTCAAAACAAAAAGTTGTTGGAGGAGCTGAACACCCGTAAGCTCCAATGAAGTCAGTGGGGAAAAAGCTGGTCCTCAGCATCTCTGAACATTAATCCCATGAACTTCTCAAGGCAGAAGTTATGTGAATGTTGTATACTTACATTTTCAGAAAGTTGGAGGAGGGATGTGCACAGCTCAAAATAAGTGGTGGGGTTTTAATAATAAATGTTTTGACCAATGTATAAGCCCCTTCTGCTATTTCTGTTTGTCATTGTTCATCTCATCTTTTATATTTGTTCTTCCTGTATACAATTCTATTGTCAGATTATTGTGCACAGCATTATATGAGAGAGAGGTAATGGATTGTATTTAACATTCCCTCAGATTTCACATAATCCCCAGGTGAACCACTTTTTGTCTCTGTGAGGAAATATAGTGTTCACATGCAAAGGATTTTTCTTGTTTTTGGAACTCAGCCTATACCTATAGCCCAACTTCAGAATTGTATTTGTCTGTGTGCAAAGTTTTAAGTACATATGCTTGTTCCTTCTTTTCATTATATGGTTGCCTCTAGTTTCATAACTCATAGGCAGACTTTGTCTCTGTGTGGTTTTGTAGCTGCTTTACACTTCAGAGAATGACTAAATGCAGTATGTGAGAGAGAGACTTTCACTGTGCACAAACACAGAAGTGAAATCAAAACCAAAAATCCTATACCAGGTGTGGGCAAATTCTGGCTTGCGCATCAGATCTGGTCCACAGGGTTAGTCCCTAGTGGGCCCCTGCCTCCATGTTTAACTGCACCACCGCAGGTATCAGAGGATCACTGCTCACACTGGCCGCGAATCACCTTTCACAGCCAAAGCGTGCCTCAGGAAGTGGCACTTCCTGCCGCTTCTATTGGCCATAAATATCAATTTGCGGTCAACCAGAGCTGCAATCCTCCAATATCCGTGGAGGCGCAGGTAGACTCAGCGGCCCACCAGTGGCTTACCCTGTGGGCTGCTGTTTTTTATTACCCACCCCTGTTCTACACCATGCTTCAGTCAACTCTGTTTTCATATTTTTACTTATTTTATCCTGGTGCATTTGTTTGTTAATATGTCTTTCATTATTGTGTGTGGAGATAAATATTCTTTCAGCGGCATAAGATGTGTAGTTATAATAGAACTGAGATTGTAATTATATTTGTGTTAGGTTGCAGACATATTTGTTCTTCTAAAGGCCTTACTTTTTTACTTGAGGTGTTTTATAGTCCTGATTCTTATTAATATTGAGACCCTTTGAAGCCTGAGCATGTAAAGGGCTTTTCAGATAGGTATAAATGTAATTTATGTTCACAGTAAGAGTTCTTTATCCTGCCAGAGATGAGTAAGTACTGTATACTTAGTGAAAATGAGAATCAGATCCCGAATTACCAGGAACTGTCTTTTCCAAGTCTGTAAAATCAACTAAACAATAAGAAGTCACTAAGACCAGGTGTGTTCACCCAAGAATTCTGAAGCAATTCAAATAGCAGTATTAGTAACTAGGGATGTAAGCAACTAGTCAAGTAATGAACTACTCAACTGCTTGCTTCCCCCTCTCTCCTGTGCTGCCTCTGTATCCGTTTGCCAGAAGCTGGGAATGAACAACAAAAAGTGGATTGCTTGACGATTACCCGTTCTATTCATTTCCTCCATTCCCTCTGAGGCACCTGTCATTGTCCACTGTTGGAAAACAAGAGACTGGACTAGATGGACCTTTTGGTCCAACCCAGTAGAACCGTTTTTGGGTTTTTATGAACATGAAAAATAATATGGGCAAATAAAACACACTGTGTTTTTAAAACCCTGTAATTAATGTGTGATTCCTTTTGAATAAGTACCTTTAATTTTGTATACTGTTTTGCTCTGTGCCTACAACTCCTGAATATGGGTCAAAGGAAGTATATGGCTTTTAAATAGGAACATCAAAGACCTTTCAATGTAAAGAAGCTCTTTAAGGGCCAAATTAGGATGTGTGTATGGATTAAGAGGAAGGGCACTGCATTGAATAGGAAACATAGGATCTATTCCCAACTCTGCTTTTAGCTTCTCATATGCAGTGTTTTAGCCATGTCGGTCCTAAGATGCTGGAGACACAAGGTGGGTGAGATCATTTCTTTTATTGGACCAAATTCTGTTGGGGAGAGAGACGATGTTTCAAACCACAGAGCTCTCCTGCTCTCACCGAAAGAAGCTGATCCAATGAAAATATTACCTTATCTACCTTGTCTCTTTAACTTGTGTTACTTTGGGCAAATCACTTGGGCCTCACTTTCACCACCTGTAGAAGGAAGACAACAAATCTTTTTCTCCATTGTAAAATCCTTTTGAAGTGTACAGGTGAAATCAGAGCTAATTTATAATTATCTGAGTGTCAGAATTTGGGCTTCAGAGTGTAACCTTTACTATAAGCTGTGAACAAAATGACAACAGTAGTTGAATATATTGCACAAAATAATCATTTTTCATATTCATGTGTATTTTATTATATCTTATAACTGTGGGAAAGAGGAAAATATTGTGTAATGTTCAGAACTCTGTGGTTAAATAACAGTTATTTTAAGTATGAACAGTTTATCTTCGAAACCTTGTCACTGAAATTACCTATGTCAGTCATTTTTCACATGCATCATGTAGAAAAAGCTATATCCCATTCTCCTCTATATAGTTCAAGATTGCATGCAGTTTGATTGACTTGTATAAATGTCATGAGGATAATGTCTGAATATGATTGTTGCTTCATAACCGGTAGCTGACTTTACAATTAACTTCATTAATGCATTAAAATTCTTTAAGTGATTCATTCATGTTGTGTCTTAATTCCAAGAAACATTGGGGAAAAGAGCTTGTAAATAGCTTAAAATAAATCAACAATGCTACCAACAGAAGAGTTTTTCCTAAAAGTATCACAGGAAGTTGATAACTCAAAGCTTAGATTGAGAAACCTACTTACTAAAGGCTTAGCAGAATAATATCTGAACATTCATGTAAACAGCATTTCCCTTTATGTAACATTTGAGTGGAGAATAGCCTACACTTACGCTTTATATTATTCATATTAGTCACAGTTAATCCCATTGAAAACCAGAAAACAAATAGTCTAATGAAAACCCATGTTTTTCAGTCTTCTATTTCCTTTCAACATACCATAAAACATCCAGCATGCATTGTTAAAGGAAACAAATCCATTTAATACAAAGGCTGGTAACCAGTCTAAATGGTTAAATTGATGTGTAATCCAGATTATACCTTTCTTTTAAAGTTGGAATGTAGTGTATACTATGCCAAAGAAAATGCATAAATTAAATCTTGCAGTAATATTCTGAAAAGCTACAGATGACTTTCTCGAGGATAATCAGTAATATTAATGAAAATATTATTGCCAGCAGATTTTATATATGTGTTTCTCTTATACTAACTGAAACCAGGAGATAGACACTAGGTTAGTTGTAAAATTGAAAACATTTATAAAAATAAACAAGTGATTTTGTTTGTTCACTTTTCCTATCAGTAACAATGGTTTCGTTGTTGTTGATTTAGGAATGACTATACCAGAAGAAGATGCAGATGTGGGACAAGGTAGTAAATATTGCCTTGTGGCAATAGGGAGGCTGCAGGTAAAGATGCTCTTTTATTACATACAAGTGCTGAAAACCTTAGTCTGTGTTGTAATATAGTTTTAATATAAGATTCTGGACAGAAGATTACCATCTGGGTCATGGTACTAAAAGCGCAAGGCTGTGGTGACTGCGCCCAGCCAAGTGATTCATTCTGTAGTTGGATGGGCTGCAGAAATAATTCTTTGTGGAAGTTTCCTGGGTACTTGACAAGAGGGAATCATCTGGGGATGGAAACTATTGTGAATAGATTTTGTGTAGTGGCTGATTTAAAAGGCTAATTAACTATCTGGAAAAACTGTACAGGGTGCCCCCACTATAAGTTGCCCCAGTATACATCCATTCCATACTAAAGTCATTGTCGCTTGTAGGAAGTGACGTGTTATAAGTCCTCCTATTCCACGCTCTTAAGTCATGCAAAAACAAAGGAAAACAAAAAACCAATTTGTGCAAATAGAAGTCAGCTGTGGGGAAAAACAATCCCTGTTTGAAGTTGTTTCACTATAAATCCAAGGTTTTTTGGAACGTATCTTGGACTTACAGTGAGGACAGACTGTAGTTGCAAAAGCTAATTTGAAAACAATAAAGTTAATGCAGTCAAGAGGCCCTAGAACTTAAGAGCTTTACAAAACATAATTTTATTCTTCCACACATAAGCACTTCATACTGCTGAAATATTACACGACAGATTCACACACAGAAGTTCATAGAAAAATGTGTAAATAGGATTTTACATCATTTGAGCAATATATCCAAATTCGAGGCATAATGTGGGTACTGTATTCTATGGGTACTTCCTCCCCTGCTGATGGTGTCCTCATGAATAGTTCTGAGCTGAAGCTGGAGTAGCAGTAATGAATCTTTTCAGTCACAGTAAGCAAGTCATTTTTATGTTCCTGTCTGGGAATCATGCCATTAGTAAAAATGGCTGATCCTAATGCATGGTCTCTTGTTGGCCTTCACTCATGCCCATCTGTTAGGATAGCAGAGTTCCCTCTTAATGGTAGCGTGCCAGTGTTATTGGAGTATAGCTGCCAAGCCAATATCAGTTAAAATGGGCAGCCTGCATTGTACTGGAAATATTATCACTGCTGCAGATAGTGTGTCCTGTGTGGTACAGTATTTTTATGTCATTGGAATGACATTTTTCACTTAATCACACGTATGTCCAAAGATTAAAATATCCCAAATTGTGGACAGAAGGAAATTACGGAGTTTGCAATTGTTACAGCTGCCAGAATTGACTCTTGCCCAGAAATCCCATTAATAACACCTGGTGCATCAAAACATCTGGTCCATAAGAGCATAGCCAGCGGGCCCTCTGTGAGTGAAGGCAAGGTCAGGCAAGCAGTGCAACTACTTTCATCACAAAGGAATCAAGGTGTATACATTTTAAAACTGTGCATTCCAAACAGTAAACCAGAAAGTGACAGCCAGTCACCTCCCAGCTCTGTTAACTAGCACATTGATGCTATTGTGTTCCAGAGCAGACCAGAAAGAGATTTTGTTCAGATTGTCTGTGCTTTCTTCGGAGATCCGGTTGTTTAGGGTGAATGAGAGAGTCAGAGTTCTCACTTGTAGCCCACTAGAAGTAGATTAACTTGGCTGGCTGCATAGGTCTCAAATGGGAACCTGAAAATACTGCCTTCTTTCTGAAGGACCTTGATGAGAGTGTACTTAGAATCTCTGTTTTTCTTTTGATCGTGGTATCTGCTGTGTTAGCATTATGTTCTTAACGTTATGTCTGTGCTGCAAGCGAAGGTGTGATTGTAGCACAGGGGAAACATACCTGTGTGACAGTCACACCTCTCGCAGTGTAGCGATGCCCTAAAAGCCCAGGGGGTCAGAAATGTGTCAGTTCTTTCAGAACTTACTAGAGTTACCTGTTAGAACCTTCTTTGCGGCGTACCTTTGATAGGCTTGGTTTCAAATGATTATTTGTCCATGGCCCATGTAACAGAGTGATGGTTTTGTGCTGGGGACTAGACTGAAACCATTTCAGTTTCATATTTTATGTCCTTGCTTTATTTCTAATCCCTTCTGAAGGGTTGAGGAGAAACTGACAGGTTTTGTTGTTTTAAATGAAAAAAGCAGCCTCTATTTATGATGACTGTTCATTTTTAAAAAATTATGTTTATCTGATTTGTTTGTCCCAGGTAACTAGCTCACCTGTGTGCATGGACATGAATGGAATGTCTGTTCCCACCGAGTTCTTGTCTAGACACAACTCTGATGGAATAATCACATTTGTTGATCCAAGATGTATCTCTGTGATTGGCTACCAACCGCAGGTCAGTTTCTAGTTTTAAAAATAAGATTGGTGAGCACTCATTAAGGGCATTCTCTATCTGTGTTTGAAAATAAAAACATAGCTACAGCAATGGGCAAATTGTGTTAGGGAGTGGGCCACATGAGAGCCCTCCTTCATCTCAATGTGCCGCAAGACTGTCGTAAACAAAGACAGTCTCCAAGGTTAGGGTAGTTTTGCTGTCTGCGCCTGTGTACTTAGAATTTGTCAGGTGGGTTGATTGAACCATAGCAGTGCTTTGGTTGGATGCAGAGGAAGCACATGGCTTTTACAGTCAATCTTGTGTGCCCTTCATGTGCCCTCACTTTATGTGCATGTCACTTCAGTAATACCGTTACCAAAAAAAAAAAAAAAAGACACAGGCAGAAACCAGCAGAATCTAGCAACCTTGTGTATGGGCAACAGTAAACAAAATGTATTGCAAGCTACACATAGAACCCCGATGGGTCATATGTGGCCTTTAGACCACAGGTTGCCTGCCACTGGCCCAAAGATGTAACAGTTCAGCTGATCACCAACTGTCCTTCTCACAAAGTCTCATGTTAAGGGTCATTTATTTTGCCATACTGTGCTCACATCCTTCGAATTAAGAGCTTTCCCCTTAATTACAGGGGATATAATTTTATCCTTTTTGGATTCAGTGGTTTTTAGCACTGAGCTGGTTCAAATCCCAGGCATCTTTCAAATTCTACCAAATTAAAACATTTCTCTTGAAGCAATATAGATCTTGCTTTGAGAGATTTACATTTGTAGATTTTACTTCTCTACCAACAACAAGCAGACCTCCATTATGAAGTTTATTTTTCTTGAGGCTCATGTCTTCTCCTTTGAATGAAGATTAAGATAATATAATTGGATACTAAACGTGCTTTATGGGATAACTTTCTCACAGATAACAGCCTGTTATCTTTTAATCTGAAAGGAAAATATAGTTTCCCTATCTAAACAAGTGTACTTCACCAGCAAGACATTTTGTCCTTGCACAATCATTTTGCTTTCCCTTATATATTGATTTGAATGAGTTTTACTGTAAATTATTCAAAGAAAACCATATATTAAAGTGAATGATATTGGATTAATAAAGGGTTTCAGTAAGGGATGTTAAATTGCAAGTAATCCAGTAACTGTATAGCTCACAAATATTTTGTCAGTTACGCAGTTACCCGATAAGTGCTCTTCACCGAAAATACCTAAGGACATGGCAGGCTGACTCAGTCCCAGCTCATGTCAGGTTCCAGTAGCTACCCCTATTGGCTCCTTAGGTACTTTTAATGCAGAGCCGCTGCAGGGGGTAGCTACTGGGACCAGGCATGAGCCAGGACTGAGCCAGCCTGCCAGCCAGCCTGCTAAAAATTTACTTTGGGAGGAGGGTGTTTGCGTGTAGCTGGTGTTGCTAACTGATAAGCATTTGCTTCTCGGTTAATCATTTAATTAGATACATTATTACATCCCTCATTTTGGTGTCCTTAGAGGTATAAACTGGCACCTTCAACCCGCACTAAAAATGTACTCAAAACTGTTTTTACAAGAAAATATGTATGTCTTTGCAAAAGCGAAGATGCAGTGTAGGATACCAGTCCTGCAAACCCTTATTCAGATGATTAGTCCAGTTGAAGGTAATGTGACTAGCTATGTGAGCAAGGATTTCTCTCCCAATTAAAGCCTTGTGGGATTAGCACATAAGTTTGTATTTTTATAGTTTTATATTGTGCTTTACTAGGATCTTCTGGGAAAAGACATTTTAGAATTCTGCCATCCGGAAGATCAAAGCCATTTGAGAGAGAGTTTTCAACAGGTACGACTCTACTATTTTTCCCCCCACTTTTATATAAAATCTAGCATTCATTTCTCAATACCAGGGCTAGTTCTCATATCCAGCAGCAGGAGGGTGCATTGCATGAGGTAATTCATATTAATCTCTATAACTCATATTCTAGTAGTAGTTTAAACTGGATTATATACACATCTTTAGAGTGCTACATTTTCAGAAAAATCACCCTGTTTTACATGTATTAGAGGAATAGCCATGTTAGTCTGAATCTGCATAAACAATGAAAAGTCCTGTGGCACCTTATAGACTGACAGATTTATTGGAGCATAAGCTTTCGTGGGCAAAGACCCACTTCGCATGCATCTGACAAAGTGGATCTTTGCCCACGAAAGCTTATGCTCCAATAAATCTGTTAGTCTATAAGGTGCTACAGGACTTCCTGTTTTACATGTTTTCATTCTTACTTCTAAAATGTAAATGAAATATTCAGGGCACATTTAGAGCCATAGTCTGGTTCTGGATATGCCTGCATAGAGCCCACTGAAGTTAACAGGAACTGCAAGGGGTTGGTTGTCTTCAGCAAGAATGATTTTTTGAGCTGAAACTAGTTCCATTCCCATTCCTGAGCCAGTCAGGACTAGTCTATTTCTGCTCCCAAGAATGTCAGTGGGAATTTTACCATTGATTTCTGTAGGAATACACACATGCCACCACTGAGTGCTTTTGAAAATCCCATCTGCAATAGATCCTTTGCTGATGTAAATCAGCACAGCTACATAAACTTCAGTGGAGCCGTCCCAGTTTTACCTAGCTATGAATTTGACCCTGTATAAATTAAAGAAATGAAATACAAAAGGCACATAACATATGGAAATGATTCTCAGTCTGGATTCAGTGTAGCAGTGGAGTTATATAGATGATTAATTACTTAAAGCATGACAGAAAACTAATGAAACCCCATAAAATCTACGTGAGGAAGATAATTCATACAATACTATTCCCATTTTATAGATGGCGGATATGCATATCGAAGGTTATGTCTACATGTTGCAACTAAGGGTACGTCTAGACTACCGCGTTTTGTCGACGGAAGTTTTGTCGACAGATACTGTCGACAAAACTTCCGTCGACAATTTGCGTCCAGACACATGGAGTTCTGTCGACAAAGCAAGCCGCTTTGTTGACAGAACTCCGTAGTCTGGACGCAGTGTTACAGGCAATAACACCTTCTGTCGACAGAAAGTGTTATGCCTCGTAAAACGAGGTATACCAGCGTCGACAAAACCGCGGAGTTCTGTCGACGTTATGTCGACAGAACTCCGTGGTAGTGTAGACGCTGGTATTGTTTTGTCGACAAAAGTCCACTTTTGTCGACAAAACTAGGTAGTCTAGACACACCCTAAGAGTGTGATTGCAGCATTTGCAGATATATCTGAGCTAGCTCTGATCTAGTGAGTTTACTTATGGGGAAATTCCGTATCACTGTGTATGTGCAGAATTTATATCCCCCCACAGATTTCTTTGCTCCCCTGCAGAAAAGTGACTTTCAGACAGATAAGCCAGGGAAGCCACAAGAGAGGTTCTGTGACCCTCCCCAACAGTGTATTTTGGGTGCCCAGAGGAGAGGTAAATCCCTGTCTGTCAAGGAATGGAACTGGAGAAAATGTGGCTGATGGCTCTTACTTTGCACTGGGCTCAGCTGCTAGTCCCAGCTGAGCTTGGGAGATCAGGACTACTTCGTTCCCTGTACAGCATCCAGAACCATGTCAGACTCCCACCCCAGTTGTAAGAAGCTCTGCAACCTTCCTCCTCCTCCCTCCCCCCCGATGCTTCCTGCAACCATTCCTCCATTCCAGGTGTTGGCGAATGAGGCAGTGTACAGAGAGCTGTTCCCCCATCTGCCCAACCCCTGTAAATCCAGACCCTTCCACCAATCCTCAACCCGCATACCTAGAACACATCCCCTGACAAGCCCCCCACTCCTCTGCACCTGGATTACCCCGATGCTACCTGCACCCAGATTCCTTCATTGCAGAGTCCTAGCTAGCTGCACTTGCATCCCCACCCCACTGAGCCCCACTTCCACAGCATCTGGATCACACACTGAGCCCCCTACCTCTCAGATGCCCCTTGTCTGGGATCCAGCCATTTTCACACCCTCCTCCACAAACTCCTATTACCATTGTACACAGAACCACTCCACAAGCCCCTGCACATCCCCACCCCTGCACAGGACTCTCCTTAGCCATCTGCACCCAAATTGCCACACACAGAACCCTCGGTGCTCTCACCTGAATCCCCTCACACTAAGCCCCTCCACGCTGGAATCCTTGCTGAGCTTGCCTGCCCACAGCTAGTGCACCTGGCATGGAGCAGTAGGCCCAAGGGGTGTTTCTGAGACAGGCCTAGTCCTTGTGCTGTGACAGGGTTGGGGACAGTCACCCTGCTGAATCCATATCCCACTGGGGGCTGCACAGTGATCTCCCACATCTGTGCAATCAGTGGCCTATGCTGCCCAGTGCCATGCTGGAGCCTCCACATTTATGTGACAAATACAATTTGCAGAAATTTTAAAATACCGTGCACAGAACTTTTAATTTTGGTACAGAATTTTTAGGCTCAGAATGCCCTCAGCAGTAGAGCTTACTAAAAATAGCTACAGAGTTCCCACAGCCTGGGCTAGCCACCCAAGTATAAACCTGTCCAGGACTCTGGGTACGTGCTTCCATGGCTAGCCCATGCTGCTGGTCATGGTGCTGCAGCATCACTGCTATTATTTTTAGCTAGCATGCTAGATCAAAGGTTGCTTGGGTATGTCTATACATACTGTAAACAATCACACATCCTGTCTGTAGTGTAGAGATACCCCAAGATGCCCAATCTAGGTGCCATAGAAGTTAATGAATAGGCAGTGGAAGTTAGATTAGGCTTTTAAGGGTCTCCTGATGCTACACTGCTGAAGTCAGTGGGAGTTTTGCCATTAACTCCACTGGAACTATTCCTGTGCTTACAGTATTTGTTTTAAATGTTGTGATGGATCAAGGCCAGAGGCTATGACTACACTGCCCCCTCTGGCACAAAAAAATGCAAATGAGGCAAAGTGTGGAATATCGCCACGCCTCATTTTAATTAATGAGACTCTGTTTTTGTGCAAGAGGCTTTTGTGCAAAAAAACACCTCTTGTGAAAGAGCTGTTCTTCCTCTTTCTTTCAGGAAAAATGGCTCTTGCACAAGAGGGGTTTTTTGTGCAAAAACAGAACCTCGTTAATTATGCAAATGAGGCATGGCAGTATTCCACGCTTTGCCTCATTTGCATTCTTTTTTTTTTTTTTCACAAAAGGGGTCAGGGAAGACATAGCCCAAGTGACTTGTTCAGGATCAGACATTAAGCAATTGGAAGAGCCAGAGATTAAAAGTGAAATGTTCCAGGCTATGCATCCCACATTCAGTCAATCAACCCATGTTACCTCTCTCTTTGGTAGAGAATTCCTTTTTATATTGAGTACAGTAGCAGTGCAGTCCATGCTCCTGTTGTTATCAGTAATTAAAAGACTTAACTCAACAATTTAACTGTACTCCAGGTGGTTTTCATTTCTAAAGAGTTGGAGTTTTTTAAGAGGTTAAACATTAGCTTTGAACTTTGTTATCCTGTTTGTGTGCACTATTTTAAATCACTTCAGGTTTTTCCCACTGAAGACTTCCATGCTTTATACATTATTACAAAGTTAATGCTTGCTTAATTTAGATTGCAAAGCAACATATCATTACAGTTTGTTTTGTTATTGACTGTTGGGCCATAAGAATTTATTTTTTTAAATGGTAACTTATTTCCTGCCACCTTTGCTCAAAATCCTCTCTAAAGTTGACATTTTTAAATTGCTGATGCTGTCTGAAGCAGTTTGGTGAATAGCAGGGTGGGAGGGAGTTGCAGTTGTTGGTTGAATGCCAGCTTCCATCTCAGAGCCTTTACTTCCTTGAGAAGATAAATTCATTCATCAGGGTGGGAAAATTAACCCAGAACGATACATTCTCAAGGCCAAGAACAACAAATAGAATTGTGTATCAAAGGTTCCAGTGGACAGTTATCTAATATCCACTAGGAAAACGTTCAGAATGGACACAAGCACAAGTTCTGTATTCTTTACAGTGGGTGTGGTGGTAGACAGTTGTTGATAGAAGGATATGGTTTATTGGACTGAAACTACAAAAGCATGGATTTTAAATAAAACATTAACCCTGGGCTTTCGGAAAGTAGGTAGGATGAATAGGCTTTATTGTTCTGGGCCTTACTGAAGTTTGTGTCTCTTCCTTATGTTCTGTCTATGTAACTATAATGGATCTAGTTGATCAATTTATAAAACAACCTTTTGAAAAAAATCAGATTAGAGCAATTCTCCCTCCCTAGCTGTTTGTCAGCAGCCACATGGCATAAATGCCAAGTTTCTTCTAGGATAACTCCTGTTAGCAAAGTCAGACTATAGATTACTGATAAAAAGCAAATCCTAATGGGTGAGGATTAAGATTTCACAATGGGGTCCAGCATTTATTTGCACAGACTCTCCTTTTCTTCCTGAGGCATTTCATGACCTAGCCTGCTGAAAAACTCTAGAAAATAATTGTGTGGCTCTGCTAAGTTTCAGCTGAAGGGCTTAACAAGACCTCATGAAACATAACATTTCCTCTGAAGTAGTCCCAGACCATTAGCTAATGGACAAGACATAACATGGACATAATGCAGAGGAAAGGTTCTTTAGATTTTGTTTAGTTTGTTTCTGTTTTAAAGTCATTGGGAGATGGGCCCAGGCTATAAAATTTGGATCCAGATCAAGAGTTCATCGATGGGGTTTGGAATCTGACAGCCCATTTTGGGCTCATTTGTTGTTTGATCATCCAGGTTTCATTGTGTCCTCTGTAGCACAAGACTCCACTCTTGTGACAGACTCTTCCCTTTTTACTCACGCACAAGTGCCACGGACTTCAGTGGCACTTGTGCAACCAAGGGTAGTACTTTTTCCCCTGTATTACCAACATCCAAATTCTGATTTAGATATAAGCATATAGCCTGGGGTGGGCAATAATTTTTTACTGGGGGCCACTTCAGAAATTTTTGAAGTGGTCGGGGCAGCACTGGAAGGGGAGGGGCCTCAGGTCGGAAGGGTCAGAGCTACGATACTTCCCTGCTTCCCCACCCACAGACCCTGATTGGTCTGGCAGTGGGGGAACATGTGAAGTGTTCCTCCCCCAGAGATTCCCCCTAGGCTCCCATGCTCTTGGTGGTGGGAGGAGACTTCATGCACTCCCACTTCTGCCCTCAGGCTAATCAGGGCTTGGGAGTGAGGAAGTGCGCAAAGTCTCCTCCTGCCCTGCCAGGAGCATGTGGCGCTTTTAAGCGCCATGTGCTCCTTGCATGGTGGGGGCAGGGCAGAGGAAACTTTGTGCACTCCCGCCCCCCCACAGGCCCAGATTGGCCTGGGGATGGGGGAGCAGCAGGGCTTCTGTGAGCAAGATCAACCCTCTTGGCGGGCCAGATCCAGCCTGCAGAGGCCCTTTTGCCTACTGTTAAGAATCTTATATTTGTGTGGTGATTTTCATGGGTATCACAAGGGGGAGTACCTAATGTGTCTGGAGCCTGCAGATAAATAGTGTCAGAACACATGAACTACATGAGGACAAAGAATTTTCCAACCCAGAAAAAGGGCAGCAGATATGTCTTCACTGTTCAGTCATCAACAGATGTGACTCTAATGGACAGTTGTATGAACTCCAGATGCTTTGATTGTGATGTCTTTTAAAAACACCCAAGGAGAATGGATGTAGCTTAGGGATATATTGATAGATTTTACCCAGAAGGATAAGAGAGGTGGGCATTCAGGAATGAAAATGTCTATAGGCACCATTTCAGACAGAGAGGCTTCAGAATCAGATGCATGGGCATGACACATCTGACTGAAAATTTTAGACTTTGCACTGTCTGACTTCTAGCATCCTTGAAAAGCAAAGTAAATTTCTTAAGAATCTCTTCTTCGGACCTTTTTCTTAGCTACGATATTAAAGTGTGAGTGGTTCAGTGCAAATATAACAGGTAATCAGGCAGCCAGGTGGAATTGTAAATATTCAAACAACCTAATGAAAAATTGTGTTTTCTCTTAGTATTTGATTTATACATTGTGAGATGTTTCTTTGGTGATTATTTGTAAATATTCGTATAATGAAAGATGCTGTGGTTTTATTTTTCTCATAATAAAAGTTGAGCTATGATTCATATTGTAATTCCCATTGGGATAAAAAATGATCTATTGATCTTTATATGTAAATTAGAAGAAGGTATTTTGTAATATATCAGTTTAGTCCTTAAGGAGCTTATTGCAAACCCAGGGACTTGGGTTGTTGGGTTTGTATAAAGAATACATCCAAATTGTATCTGTATCTTTGCACAATTTGGGACTGAAATCCACCATTTATTGCAGGTGTACTATTTGTTTCCATATCCAGTATCAGCCTGCTGTCTCTAATCTTTACAAATACTTTTTCAGGTTGTTAAACTGAAAGGCCAGGTCCTATCTGTGATGTATCGTTTTCGTACCAAAAACCGGGAATGGATGTTAATTAGGACCAGCAGCTTCACCTTTCAGAACCCTTATTCTGATGAGATTGAATACATCATTTGCACCAACACTAATGTTAAGTAAGTGCTTTTCATGGAGCTTGAAATTTTTTTTTTAAATAATTTAATCTAAAATCATATTATAACCAATGTAAAAACTCGCAGTCAGGTTCTTATGGTGGCCTATTGATAGTTTCATTCATTTATCCTGACACTAAACCTGTGATGGGCAACCTAGGCTAGTGAGTGTGCCTCACGAGTGTCCCTCTTTTATCTCAGTGGGCTACAAGATTGTTGCAACTATGAGGGTCTCCTGGGATAGGGTAGTTTTGCTAACTGCGCTTGCGTACCCAGAATTTGCAGGGTGTGGCAACTGAACTGTAGTAGCGCTTTGATTGGATGCAGAGGGAATGCATGGCTCTCACAGCCAGTGTTGTGTGCAATGAGCACACACCTCATTTCGTGTGCCCTTGCTTTATATGTCACTTTAGGAAAAATCTGAGGGTGGACACAACCCTACGCATGGCCAACAGTAAACAAAACATCTCACAGGCCACACATAGCACTCCAATGGGCTGCATGCAGCCCTGCAGCCGCAGGTTGCTTGCCACTAATGCTACACTATAGTAGGATTATGTACAGGTGCTAACAAATAAATGCTTCTGTTTAACATATGTTCTTGCATATGTGTCATTAGCATATGGGTGCATCACACATTAAAAACAAATCTCATGAACACAGAAAAGCCTAATAGTTTTGATCTAGACTGCGTTGAAGCACAGGGCCTCCAGCAGCACAACATCTGCCCAGTTCAGGCTAGTTTGGGGAATCAATAAGGGTTGGCATTTTTCACCTCTTAGTAGTGAGTCCAAATCCAGTTCATTCGTGAGACGGGAAAGCAGTTAGTCCAGTTCATAAGCTCAAAGGGCAAGCTCATGTAAACAAGTCTCCTGCCTCTTGTGCGATATAACCATGTACGAGTCCTAGACCTGGCCTGCTTCTCCTTGATTCATCCCTCCTACTTTGCAGCCAGTAGTAGTTTGCTAAAGTAACTCCTGCATGGACCATGGTAGGAGAAGATTGGCACTTAACACTAACTTGGAGTTGGGGTCAAGGTTACAAAGACTAACAGCTCCTTTAATTCTTTTCATTGGCAGGGCAACATCTTGTGTGTGTTGGCAGCTTAATGCCTCCTTGATCCTTTAGAACTGTGTGCTCAAATCACCGCGAGTCTGAATTAATTTGTGACTACCCCCATAAGAAAGAGGCTGGTTTAGGAATGTTTAATCCCCAAATTGGTGTTACAGAGCTACTCCCAAAAGAGAAGTTCTCCTCAGAATCCAGTGCAGCCTAATTCATCACATAACCTCATAATGCAGACTGTCAGAGCCAATAGCTGCAGAAGCTAATTTGAGATGTTTTCTTCTGTTATGGATCTTCTCCCAATAAAATAGTAATCTGATCTTTTAAAATGTGTTTTGGACTAAGCTGGTGGGTTTTTAAACAAGTTTTTTAACTCAAAGGGGAAGTTGAAATGTTACAAACCTGTTAGAATGTGTAATGGAGATCTCAAACAAGCACTTAACGAATGTAGCTGGGCACTGATACATTCACTGTCATAACCCCCTCTCCTGTGGCTTTGCATTTTATAAATATGGTAAGTGTTCTTCCTCTGTTTCAACTGTCATTTCTATTCTACCTTGTTTCTTAGAGTGCAGGGGAGGGAGAGGTGCAATGAGCCCATTTTTGCATATACTACCTATTGTCTTGCGCACCTATTGTCTGTGCACCAGAGTTTATAAGGGTATAACTTGGCTATAAGTTAAACTCCCAAAGTGCCCTGGAAGTCATGCTGAGATGAGAAAGTGCTAAGAATTACCAGAAAGATGTAACCTTTACAAGAATTATTTACCAAAAAATATTGTTTTTGTAATATCCTAACAAACAACGTTAGCTTACATCAGCAAAAATCTGATGTGCCAGACAGATAAACAGATGTTCAAGTGTACTGGAAGTTCACGAGCAAAAATAATGATCCTCTGTGGAAAAAAGGGGACGTAAGTTACATTTATAGGGCTCTGTATATTTTCACTGTATCAAAATGTAAGCTAACTTCAGAACTTGGTAAACAGTATTAGTCATTTGTGATCAGGCTGCAAAAGATTTTTTTTTTTTACCCGTTATGGTATGCAGTCTGTTATGCACTGACTTAAAATAAATGGTTAGAATTGGCTCTGAGGTCTCTTTGGTTGCTATAAAAAATACTTCTTGGTAACAAAAACTGTGCCTGAAAAAAAGGTCATACTGCCCATTTGGAGAAAGCAAATCTTGTGCTTTGAAATCAGGGAGCTAGTTATTCAACTCCCTGATTGGCACATCCAAACATTTATGTATGCAAAAAAAAAACCCTCCATACTTTTGCATATAGGTATTTGCATACATAAAAAGAGTGCAAAATTTGAGAAAATTGCTGATAACTGGATACCAAACGAAATAATTCGTTTTTATTCCCAGGGTCCAGAGATCTACATTTTGACCTATAGGTTAAAAATTGTTTACCATTGTGCCATACTTTCCTTTTTCAAGACATTGTCCCTAGCGCACACTGGGATAAATAAAATAGTGCTAGTATCTGTAGCCCTGTCGTATCTATCCTTATTTGGTTTTAAAAACAAACCAGAGGTGTTGCCCTAATATGGAGATTGAGTGCAGTTGGTGTGACAGATGATGTTTCCATGTTATCTCTTATACAAGATATTACTAATTGTTTTTCTTCTTTCCTCCTTAGGAGAGATTTTTTTTAAGTTCATAAATGTAAATACTAGGGATGTTAAATATTGGTTTATTGAACAGTCAATTAACCTCATTAATTCTTACTTGTTACTTGAGTATCTATATTTCCTGGAGGTGGGGCCAGCAGCCAGTGCACTTCGGCCCCACTCCCAGGGATCCCCCTGCCACTCCCACATAGCTGCCTCTGTATCAGAAACAGCGGCATGGGGTGCCAGGCGGGAGCTGGTCTATGAGGGGAGCAAGTTTTAAAACAAGGCAGCAGCATGTGTTGGCAGCTGCTAGGGTTGACAGGTGCCCGGTATTTGTGCCTCCCGTCAGGTAAAAAAATTCAGAAAATACCAGATATGTAAAACTTTTGCTGGGCTTTTTTTTTCCTTCAACAGAATTTTTCCCTGTTTTTTTTGGCGGGGGGGGGTTCAGTATTTTTTGTTAAACCATCTGGCAACCCTACCAGCAGCCCCTGTCCGGGGTGGAAGTCTGACCTCCCAGACACCGTGTGAGCTGGAACTGAGCCAGGCTGCCTACCCATCTGTCTCCTAATACACTTCAAATGCAGAGCTGCAGCAGGAGTAGGTCCCGGACCTGTCACAAGGTGGGACTGAGCCGGGCTGCTGGCCAGCCCGCTAAAAAATGTACTGGTGGAGTGTGGGATGGAATGTGTGTAATTAACCTACAAGCTTTTGCTTATAGGCTAATTGGCTACACTATTAGATCCCTGGTAAATGCTAGATTAAAAGGAACAAAACAGAACATGTCTGTCTATTTGATGTTCACGTGACTTATTTTTTCTTTTTCCCACTTTCTCTCCCCTCCATACACACATGCACTGGTTATTGTTATGTTTACCCTGCTTATGGATAATGTTATTTTCTGGATACTCTGGGGCAGAGTTTCAGCTGTTGCTATGTTTGCCTGATCAGCCACAAAAACAAGAAAAAAACTGTGTGACTTAGCTTAAATAATATATGTCTAACCCTTGTTTTATTTTTGGATTTTATTTCATGGTGGTAATTTTAAAGATCTTGAAGGAAGCATTTACCATGTGTTTTTGAATTTGTATTTTAAAAATTTTATTCATTTTACCCCTCTGTGTTAGTTTTAAAACATGGCTCTATCTTATAGGAATGATGGCCTGAGGCTAAGCCATTATATTAATTTGTTTGATTTAGTATATAGATTTATGTACATAATTAGATATCTGTTGAATTTAGAAAGAAATCTGCCAGTGCTTTCTATTAATAGAAAGCTTTTATTTTGCATTGCCCAGTGAATTCAGTTTGTTTTCCAAAAAAGACTGCAGAGGGCAGTAGTGGTCATGGTTGTTTTTTATGATCTTGCTTTGCAACTTGAAGCAGTTGACTTTCCCAGCTTAGTTTCTGTGTGGAAGGGTAACTAAATGTTGGGTTCAAATGTTCATTTAGTACCTTGCCAAAAAAAAAAAAGGAAAAGGTTAGCTTGGTTTCTTTTGGATAGAATCATCCAAAAGAAACTTCCTGTAGAAATGAAGCGTTTAATGGTTAGCATTTGCACTGTGCTCAGCTGAAAAGGACAGCCCTACATCTCACCTCACCACGTCTTCTTCCTCTTGGAGTTCCAGTAAAAACTGACTAACATTTATGTAACACACAAGTTGAGCTGTCTTTGAACAAACCCATCTACCCTGAAAAGAACAAACATTTTCTTAATTTTGTATGTACACAGAGCAGATGTGAGTTGTTTTCATTTCTCATAAACCTGACTGGATAATTGTGTGTATTGATGAACCCTGGACTTTTGTAGGTCTTGAAATATTGTTGTGGTAGACTTGCAGTCCACTGAAGGATCTGATACAGGTTGAATTCTGTTAATACAGTTTTACCTAAGCAAATACTAGAATAAAAGACCCTGTACAAGTTTCCTTGTAAAAGTGGAATTCTGGATAAATAAATGAACAGCTCTGGTATGGTTAATTTACTGAATTGGATACTGTAGGCCACTTGTGAAATCAGCTGTTTGTGAGATTTTAGCCCATGATAGTGAGGATACCACAAAATTAGGGATGTTAATTTTAGTTTAATCAACTAGTCGACGGATTTTCCATCATCTAGTCAATTAGTCCATAAGTGGGTGTGTTGCGGCAGCATTTTAAATGTATTAAGAGCTGGCAGGCTCTTAAAAGGCTGAAGCATAGCAGTGGGGACCTAGTGTGAACTGGAACAGCTGATTCCTAGCTCACACTGGGTCTATTCCCCCTCCCCCCTGCTGTGCTTTACCCTTTTAAATGTATTAAAAGCCTGCTGGCTCTTAAC